ACGTTCGCGCTCTTACACACACACACACACACCTTTATTTCTATTGTGCGTGTATACTGCTGCTATTATTCTGAAAATACCCAATGCAATCAAAAATAAGTTTAGGATGAAGGTAACACTGATAATATGCATGTAAGAAAAGTAAACAAAAATATACGGTAGCTTTAATTTTTTATTATTTGTTGATGCGTTTTAAATCGGGCAAGTTCCATCACACAGATCAAATAATTCAAAGAACTTCATCCTTTTTTTTTTTTAGGAATATGATCGCAGCGTCATTACCATCATAAAGGAACACTATCAATTTCGATATGAACTTGAAATGAATTCCTGTCCGTTGATTTTGTTAGTGGGCGATCAAATCCTCCGGATGCATTTAGCGCAGAAGCACTCAAAGTGCCGCTGCGCGCACAGCGCCTTTCGGTGCTCATAATCCAGCGTAGAGGTGAGGTGAGAATTGTAATCGATAAAGAGCTGCTCGCCATCGCGAATATCGCGCAGAGAAATCAATCGGCGCTGCAAAGGGCCGTCCCCTTGGACCACCGCGCAATTCGGTTCGCAGCTGTGATTGAGAAAGCTCAAGGAGGGGAACAACGCGATCCCGCCGCTTTCCGGGAGGAAAAACTCGTTGGTTTGAAGCAGCGCCAGCAGCGAGAGAACCTCCTCCATGAACAAATTGGGCTGGTGGAAGAATTCGGAAAGGGCCACCGCGAGGGCGCCGACCTCGGCCAACGCGGTGGCGGGCTCGTAGTCGACGATGCCGCGGAGGAAATGCAGGGCCGGGAGGGCGAGCGGGTGGAGCCGCCCGATCGTCGCCATCGCGCAGAGCTTCGCGACGGCGAGGCAGGAAAGCGCCCCCCGCGCGTCGAGGCCCTCGGGAGTGAGATTCGCCGGATTCGCGTGGGCTGGCGGGTTGGGGTCGGCGTAGAGTACCGCCTCCATCGATCGCCGCCAGCGCGCGAAGGCGGGGTTGACGGCGGGGCAGCAGCAGGCGTGGGACTGCGCCCAGGCCGCCTCCTGGCAGGCCCTCCCGCAGTAGTTCTC